GCCCCCCAGCATGTACAGGAGAATGTCCAAATGCATCCCCTGGATCTATAAAACTCTGCCAAAGCTGAGTTAAATGCGACACTTCCCTTCAGGCCAATTTGACCATACTGGGCTCCATGCCTGTGTGGGACTCCTGAGATGGTGTATTTCAGAGTATTTGTTTCTAGAGTTAGAGAAATGCTATGGCTGGCTCAGTCCTGAAATCCTGTTGTGGCTAGAAATACCCCATCCATGTTTGATTTTGATATTTTGTTGTATTCTTTTTTCATCCCAAGAGGCTACTAAATGTTTGTTACCCTGCAGGTGTTCCGGTTGGGAGCTAAATTGACTATGGAGTCTGGTATTTCCTTTGATGCAATCTAGTTTATTTACAAGGAATATTGAAAGTCCTGTTTCCCTGAACAAAGTCAGAATCAAACACAGCAGACAGCTCCTCTGTTCAGTATCCTGAGCCTGTCTCTTCAGCCAAGATTCTGTACTCAAAAAGCTCCTTCTCTTAGCTGTCTCTCTGGGCCACATTCCTGTGCTTCCAGGTTGTTTCTGCCCGGCTTTTTACTCTGTGTCTGCCTCGCTTTGCCTGCCACTTTGGGTGGCAAGGGGGACGCAGGCCCTCTCACTCCACTGTGTCCCAGCCCTAGCAGCAGTAGATGACCCACTGCTGTGTCAGTGGGGATCCTGGCCACAACACACTGACATGGGCTCTGGTGGTGCTGCAGCCAGACTAGGGTCAGCTGCCCCTGGGCTACTTCCTACCTCCCCCTCCACAGGTACCTGCGTCTGGACGGAGTCTTCCAATGAGTCAAGCACCATGGGCTCCTCTGGGTACCCGGTGAGCAGTAGGCTTGGCAGCTCCTCTGGGTAACTTGCCAGCGGCAGGTTTACCGGCTTCTCTGGGGTCTGGTCGGCGTCAGGCCAGTCCTCGGATCGGCCGCAAGCTGCAGGAGTCTCCCAACCGGGGGCTAGGCCACAAGCGTCTGACTTCTCCAGCAGCCGGGACTCTAGTTAGCTCTGGGGTTGGGCTTTTGTACTTCCTGTCCTGTGTTCTGACCTCTGGGGGGCGGGCACAAGTTCCACTGGCTCTGCCCACTTTGGCATCTGGAGGGGCTCGTCCCCCTCTGGGGCGGCTGGGAACCAGGCCACCTCACTACAGGCTGTCAGAGGAGCCCAGAGGGCTGCTATTAACATCAGAGAGGCTTTGAGGAACCACTTTGACAATGACAGGCACTAACACATGTCTGCTTTGCAGTTGCTTCCCTGTTACATCCATGTACAATTTTGAGGCCCAAGATCCATGCAACAAAATGCTTTAGAAACCCGTTCCCGAGATTGCGCTACGCTTTTGTAGAACACAGAATAAAAACGCGGTACCATTACAAAACCTTAGCCTTTATTTAGTGTTAAAAAGGGTAAAATCTCACATCTGTGTGTAGCTCCAGCCATCATTGTGCAAGCTGTGAGAGGGGGTGGAGTGATGGGGAAATTGAGGAGTGCTGTGAAGTGAAAAGGCTGAAATTCTGGATGAAGAAGTGGAGCTAGAAGAACATGTGGAGCTCCGATCCTATCTCGCTGCAGATGCTGGTATGCACTACAAAGACTGACAGATGGAAAAATGTTGCGAAAGGAAGCTGGAAACCATCAAAGGGCTGGGACACAAAGCAGTGCATGATGGGACATTTTGCATGTCCCAGAATGCACCATGCTCCATTTCCGTCTTCCCACAACACCTAGTGACAGATGGTGTTGCCAGGCACTCTGGGATACATACCCACAGTGCATTGCTCATGCTATCGACAATGGTGTCCCAAATGTGGACACGATCTGTTGACAGAGGGAGCAAATGTAGACTCGCGTTGGCGATTTTGCTTTTGTCGATTTTTTTGTGTCAACATTAGTTTCATTGACAAAACTTGCCGGTATAGACAAGCCCTAAGTCAATTTGAACAATTTGTGTGATTTGGCGGCCAAAATTTGTTATAGATCTATATGCTGCTAGCATCCATCCTTTAATTATAGTCTAGATAGTGATTCCTTTTAAAGTTATAGACCATAGTATTAATAAAAAATGTTTAAATAAATAGATTAGGCTACTTTTGAAGTGACCGTGGACTACTGACGCAGTAAAAAATAACATTTGACACAAATAGAACAACTTGCAACTGGTAGCAAGATGGTTAAAGTCGAACATGTAAAAGACATTTATGCAGACACCTTAGATAAGGAGAGATTGAAACTATACCGTGACATGTCCTTGGACATAGCTCAACAGAAAATATAACGCTCTCAAGTGTTGAGGATGTTGTCTCATTTTTAAAAGCTAAAGGGAATGAACATTTGTGCCTTATGCTCCCAGAGCACTATGCATATTTATAAGGAATCCTTCTCACTGTGCCTGTATCATCCTGCACTGCGAAACGCTCATTCTCCAGCCTCAGAAGACTTAAACATTACCTCAGGTCACCAGTGGGGGGACGGACACCACTGAAGGATGCAGCTGTCCTTAACGTGCATCAAGACCATCCCAGCGAACTAGATGTGAATAAGGTTGCTGACAGTTTCATCCAGAAAGCTACAGGGAGATGTAATGTCTTTAAACTGGTATGTTAGTGAAGACACTTGTAGCTGAGTGTAATGATTTTAATAAACTGTAAGTCATGATAATGTAATTATGTAGTTCATTACTATTTTAATAATGACTAAATTAAGATACCAATGATAGGCACACATTCAATAACTAGAATGTGAAAGAAGTGTACAAATATGATGAAAATAGCCTCCTCCCAAAACTGACAGAGCACCCCCAAGCACACACCTCTCTCCCTTAAGATGGGGGGGGGGGTCAGAAAGGAGTGAGAGGCAGGCGGGGGGCAGGAGAAGGGGGCAGAGCGGGGGGCAGGAAGAAGTGGAGTGGGGGTATGGGGGAGGGGATGGAGCCAGGATGGGGCACCCACCAGCAAAACCAAAAGTCAGCACCTATGATACAGGGACACACTGACCCTTCCTAAAGATAAGGTTAGCATGACAGGATGATGGATAGGGATTTTTTGAGCAAACCAACATGTACAAGGTAAAGGCTGGAAACTAACCACATCAGAGGGGCAATATATAATTTGTTTGTATCAGTGTATAAATAAAGGGGTCACAGAGGGGTGTCTTTGTCCAGCAGAGGGGGGAGTGGAAAGTCCCACTGCTCACTAAGCCGTGTCCATTGTCTACATGTGTTAGTGGACTTGTATCATGTATAGGGCACTAGTACTGTGCTTTGTTGGCAATAAACCTGGCTGAGGTGAGCGCCTTTGCCACTGAACCGAGTCTGAGGTCTTCTTGGGTAGTTTGATCAAAGTCTGCTGTATGGGCTACCTGGCCAGAGACAGTGCAGGACACACAGAGAACACACACGCAGTCAACAACTGACAACACTGGTGACCCTGACCACTGATGTGGTAATTAGGTAACTTATCCTCTGTAGGAATTGTGATGTAACATGGCACAAAGCTACAACCTAGGGAACCCCTTATCCCCTCCCTGCAAATCCCCACAGATTTTGATGAGATATAAACACACTGGTTTGCCAGCAAAGGAGGGTCCATATGAATGTAAGAAAGACAGTGTGGAAGAAACATAGGACAGAATCTGTATAGCTAGGGCAGAGACCGTAGCCTTGGAAAATAATAAGAGTAAGAGGGAGATCTCACGGCAGGCTCAACTGGTTGTTTGTTCATTTCTCTGGAACATCAATAAGTCTCTGTCCATCTTTCCTCTGCAATAGCCATCTGTCTATCTTTTCTGCCACATCCATCCATCCCTCCCTCCATCCTTCTTCAATGTCCATCATCCATCCATTCATTTATCCATCCTTCTGCAATATCTACCCTGTGATGTTGCACTCCATTTTCTTTATGGAAATATGCTTATGAATATGACTATGACATAACTGGAATATGTTTTATGCAATGTGCTTCATGTGATGTATCATGGGAAAGGTTATAATCTACTGAATGTGTTCATCCTATTTGTATGCATGCATCATTTCCATATCTGAAGTTAGAAATACGAAGTGTAAACCTGTGTTACTAATGTAGCTATGCTAAGTGGGGGTCATTAATGGTACTTCAGGAGCTTGTTGATTCTTTGACAAGAAACAATGGACTGTAAATGCCTCAAGTGACACACCAGGGGGTCCGACCCATCACATACCATTCATACATCTTTCTGCAATATCCATCTGTTGGTCATCTGCCATGTCCATCTGTACATCCTTCTCCAGTATCTATCCATCATCATCCATCCTTCAGTATCCATCTGTCCATTTTTCTGAAATATCCATCCATCCATCCCTCCTTCTGTAATAACCACACTCTTCTCATCTATCTTTTCTATCCACCCGTCCCCAATATCCATTCATCCAGCTCTCCATCCACCCTTCTGCAATATCCATCCATCTGCTGCCTTTTATTTAAAATCTCTAGGAACACACAAAGACCAAGGTAGTGACCACACAAGGAATAGCTTGTTTTACAAGTTTTATTAAAGTTAGAGTTAATGTTATGATTACACAAGCATACAGAAATCCTATAAAGATGTAGGCACACATTACAGTTATACTCACATCCTTAATAATATTCTTAAGGTCTGATGGCTGCCTTGCCAATGATCGTCACTAGAGGGATGGTTTCTGCTGGAGTTTCCCATAGGGAGGTCAATTTTCCTAATTTGGGCACCCTTTTTTTATAATGCGGTTCCAACTATGCCTCATTAGCATTTAGGCACATTGTGCACGCAGCAATTAGGGCATGTGTTAGAAAAATGTGACTACCGGGTATCTTGTAAGCAAAAGAATTACTCTTACTGTCTTTTCCTGTAATCTTGTGACATAGAATCATTCTTCGGTCACTTATGTCAAACATTTGTTAAGCCTATGGCCTAATATGGCTAAGCTAAAAT